GCAATTATTGGAATGCTTTGATAATTTTGATAAATGATGCAGTATTTAAATTTGCTTTGAATTGAATCTAAATTATTTAAAATTCCAAATTATTTGAGATGGAACAAATAAGTGCATATTAATCTGCATTTAGCAGCTTGTAAAGGAGGTTTCACTGCAGCAGAGGAGTGCTAAGCCGTGAAAACACATATCCAAAAAATTCTCACTGCCGCAAAGTCTTGTTTCAGGTTAAATGAAGGAATTATCTTAACATTGATTTTTTGCTTAAAATCTTCCTATTCTGGCTTATATGCTCTAAGTATATCAAATTTTAAAATGTAACATATTTTACAGGCCGTCAGTTGCATTATACAGTAAGTCAGGTCCTGCTAAAAAAATTCAAAGATGTTTCCACTCCCTCTGATGCAAAAAAAAAAAAAGGCATTTGCATAGGCCTCATTTCAGTTTTAAAAAAGATTGTGCAGGTTAGTTAGGTGACGGCAAATATGCCCAATTTTCTTTATAATGTGATATAAACACTGCTTGGATTCAATTAGAGATCGTTCGATCAAAATCACCGTGTGCATCAAATCCAAAATTCACTATTTGCACAAGCCTAATGATATCATTTATATACACTCAAACTTCAACATAAATTAGGATATAATGAAATATTGGTTACATTGAAGTAAATGAAAATTAGTCTTGCAATAGATACAGCGTTAAGAATAACCTTTATAACAAATTTTCGAACATAACAAACCTATTTCTTGTACGATGTAACTTTGTTACTGTGAGCTTGGAGTGTAATTATTATGAACATAAAGTAAGCAGTTAGTATGGTCTGAGCATTTAACAATGTTCATATTAATTGTTTTCATGTTTTTTTAAATATATTATACACAATTTCTTGTTATTTGCATTTACAAATAATATGGAGCAAGATGAGCCAATAATGACTCATAATTATGAAAGTTTAGTCACAAAAAAGTTAGTCTGAAAAGAGCTATATTTTACACATTGTCATAGTACCAAACAAAAACTATGCGACCTACTATAAAATGAATTATGTACTTGAAATCAGCGTGAAAGCCTATGTAGATGGCAGAAATTTCAATAAAATTTTGTGTCAATAAAGCTTTTATGTTACAAATCGCATCTCTTCTTAAGAACTAGCTAACTGTAGGTGCTCTTTTCTAAAAAAATTCTGGTATTGCCCCTGATGGTCACCAACTTTCAGATGTATCTGTACTCAACTCGAGGGACACAATACACAAGCAATAGATGGGGCTTCACAACCACGATCAAGATCACAAGAGTTGACCAACTATCACCCTACTCTGTCTCTTCTAAACTGTTGCTTTGTAGCCTTAGAAAAATAGCCAGAATCGGGTGACCTGGAGTGTGCCAGGCACAAGGATGTGTACATATGCAGGGGTCGGGAAGTTTGCCGCCATGTTGAATGTAAATCAGCAATAAAAAAAATTGGCCCCGTATCTGCATGTGACACCGCAGATGTCGTCAAAAGACGATAGTCTTGCGTCTGGAGAGAGTGAACAAAACGTTTATTTGATGTTCTGCGCAAGAAAATCGGTGAATGGTATTCTGGAGGCGCTGCGTTAGGGTGCCTCGAGCGTGCAGTGGAGGTGAACGAGTGCATTAAGTCACGTCACACGTGAGACATGGGTGCTATCTGGCAGTTATCTTGGAAAGCGAAGTGCGCGCGCCCTGCGCGCCCCTCTTGGTTGTGATAAGGTGTAGAACGCAAGGCGACGGGTAGGTGCCACCACCTTGTCGTCTTAGCAAAGCGTTGGAAACACTTCTTTTCTTGCAAGCGTTGCATGGTCAGCGCAACATGATAAACGCTACGGTCCTTAGAATTTATTTATGCATGCCTTTTCTAGTAAGAGATACGCATAATATTGACGTGTTGTTATGGTGCCTCAGATATGTGCAATAATTGCTTTTTAATTGACAATCGCACAAGTATGAACGCTGAATCTTGAGCAATATTGGTGGGTGCTGCGGATGGGGTCGGCGGTATGGAGTATCGTTTGGCCATTTTGGTGCCATTTAGGGTACCGTTAAGGGTGTACAAACAGACAAATGTACAGACAGACAGATCAAAATTTTTGCGTCGAAGGTTCCTAAGAAAGACTATAGTCTTTAAAAGTAGACCCTGGCGGGTTGCATTTGGTGCGAAAATTCTACCTTCAATGGTTTAAAAGAAATGGGATAAGTGGCGGAATTGTGGATGGCTTAATACAACACGTCTTTTATATGGGAGGTTGTACCCTTACATGCAAATTTCAGTTGAGGCTGACCACCACAATAAATTTACATGGCCGTTTTTAAGATTAAGAACTCGTAAGCAGAAACTTGTATGGTACCGTATGTCCTGCAAAATGTGACAGGAAGTTTTTTTAAAGAAGAAGAAGGAGGTTAGGAGATAGAAGCTTGGAGAGAAGAAATATTTGTGAATACAGTGCATCTCTGAAGCTGTTTCAATCAGTGAAATTGTCTTCTTCAAAGCTACAACTTCTGCAACTGCTTTGCAAATGCAGCCTTTACGTGACACTTCGTGTCGATGAATATTTCGTCTTTTCAAGACTGGCCATTCAAACACAAACACAGGAAAGAGGTCAAGACAACACAAACTCTGGAATGGAGTAACCAGGCCGGATAGAGCGATCTGAATTTGAGGAGTAGCAACTTCTTTCACGTGTCCGTGTTGGCATGCCCATTCTTTTCAAAATACTGAACAACTAGCTCGGCTCGGTTATTCTGGCCTAATATCCGTGATGAAAGAGATGCATGGAGAGAATATGACTATGTATGAGGTTAGGATAGGTGACATCAAAAACCGTAATCAGTGTATCGTAACAAGCTTACCCATTTCTCTTTAAGGTATCAAGTGATGAAGGAATGTGTCATTGATCATTTTGCACCAATATGGGGCTGTCAAGACATAAAGAGCTTCCTACGTTTTCGAAGAGTGGCTTGGTCTTGTGTCAGTTCGGGGTGGAAGTGCAGCGTCCTTCGCACCATGCTACATCAGCTTGCTCCTGCTGTGTCATTCTGCTCCAAAACGCATTACTGCATTGAAAGTTCTTCCAGGTGGTCCATAATGCATTCATGCGCCACTGTCATTTGCGACTTGGTGGTCAAGTGAGCTCCCATCATCGTCCCCTGACGTGCCTTGTGACTTGGTGACGGTGCGATATCGTCACAGTTTCACTGCAAGGGGGAAGCAATGAATGCGATTGCAATGATCCGAAGTGTTATGCGAAGGGCTAGCTGCTAATTCTGTTGGATCTGATCTCACCAACTTTTCAAGACATAGAAGGCAAAACGGTTGTCTGTCACCTCACTGCGAAGTAAGCAGGCCATTACCTGATGTCTGCCGGGATAGTGACCATGCTCGTATGGTCAAAGTTACTTCTGGAGCCCTTCTCTTCACCCTCTCAACACTTCTTTTCCTGACAAAAGATGGCCAGGACGTTGCTTGAAGAAGAGCCATCGACTGCAGACCTCGCACATGGGGAGGTGTCGCATACACCTTTCATGCGATGAAGATATGGCCAGCCTATGTCACCTCTACGTCAGCCGTGTTCGTTCCCAACAATTGCATGTTTTTACTCATGCGGGGGGTGATGTCGTCAGTTTGAACTTCATTTCAAGCATGATGGTGATGAAAAAAAACCTCACCGAGCATGTCCATTTTCTCGTCTTCTCACTTGCGCATGTGAGCAGTTGTTTAGCCACTGTGAGTATTTAACGAAAATCGTTTCCATTCGATGCAATAGAAGGGGCATGTTTACTGGCTACTATCAGTTTTGATTCAACCCTTAGAATTTGGTTATATATATCTCTAATTGCATGCAACTTAGGTGATTTCTAAAAATTAGTTTGTGATAAATTACCATGCACTGCAACTATCCAAGATAAACCAGTGCACTCTAGTACAGAGATTTTGTTAATTAGTCTCAGCAATGTCATTTCAGTAGTGGCCAGCTACTTCTGCTTCAACATACAGTACATGTACAAAATATTTTATGAAAATTATATTTGATAAAATATTGCATTGTCTACAAAAGGAATTGGTTTATTGATTTCTGGGAAACCTTGTCGGGTCATTGTTTTAATGTTGAATAAAAAGTGCTGGAAAACACTGAAATAAGTAAAAAAAAGTATAATTCGCAATGATCTTTGCAAAGCTGCTCCAAAACTCCCTTTTTACCACTCCATTGCTGTTCCAAAACAGCATTATTCCTGCTCTCTAAGCTGCTCCAGAAAACTGAAACCCGCTGCCACCCCTACCCATTGTTTTTTACTTTTGCCCCATTGCCCCTTTTTTACCCATTGTTTTTTACATTGTTTTTACTTTTGCCTTTGCAGGCAAAAGCGCCCACTGAAATTATCAACCTGGATGATGATGAAATGGCCAGCTCTAAAGACAAGGCAATGGATACTTCTGCACCATTATCGCAAAAGCCGAAGAAAAGGAGTATTACAGGGAAGCCATCACCTGCCCCAAGTGCTACCTCTGACCAAGCAAAGAAAAACAAGCAAGATACTCCTAAGAAAGCTAATCAGCAGTCTACCGATGATAGCGAGCAGGTAAGACAAATAGAGGACGGTATTGTAGCAGTTTTATTAAATAGCTGTTTAATATCTGTCTTGTCAAGCTGCTTCACGTAAATCTCTTGTGCAAAGATTACTTTGTATAGTTGGTTATAACGTAAGAAAAAATGCAAGCTGCAGCCTGTGCTTCTTGCCATTCATCTTTGCAAAAAAGTGGTGCTCTGTGCTTTTTATTCTAGTTATGCATAGTTTTTTATTACTAATGTAAATACTGTGCATACTAAAAATTAAGAGTTTGAGTTCCTGTCTTGAAGGAGCCCTGCAACACTTTTTGAGCATGGTCAGGAAATGTTGCTGATCAGTAGTGGAGGTTCCCATGAACACATGAGCCAAATATTATAGCGCAGCTTGTGGACTAGAATTTACAATTCGTTTGCCGAGTCGGCTAGAAATCGCTCCATCGTCTCTCTAGAAATGATGTCACATACCCAGATTTCTGCAGCATATGCCCACGTTCATGGCAGTCGGTTTATTTCAGTGTCGGGAGCTGCGTAGTTAGCATGGCTACCACGAGATGCCATCGTGTGCCGGCCTGCACGCTCGCAGTCACCCTGGAATTAAGCTGCGCATTTGGAGAAAAACACGAAAAGAAAGTGCTGAAAGTCATGACCCGCACTGATTAAAGGACGCGTCTTTTACCCTCTTGCCATCCCCCTCGCTGTGTAACTTTCAGCCTCCTCGCTTGCACAAAAGGGGAAAGCGCTAGAAACATGCGACAAGTGTACCTGTAACTTCGCTCCTACTTGATGAATTCTATAAATTTTTGAGGCATCCGATTCGTGAAGCGTCTTGCGATAATAGTATTGAGACTATTCCATTATAACTTGGAAAAGTGTTGCAGAGCTTCTTTAAAATACTAAGTTTGGCTCTGCACATATGTCTGAACCTTTGTTGGAATTTCCTCAGGAAATTCAAGTTGCTAACCGAAAGCCAGCAACGCGAACATAAGTCTTCATGAGAAAGTCACCTGCACAAAACATGCGAGAGTTGGTTGACGTCACATATATGAGGAAATGAAATCGCATGAAGGCATGTATGCGAATTTTTTCAGGGTAGACAGCGATGGCTGGGGGCCTAGACTTCTAGTGCGATAGCATTAAAGAGGTATTTTCGTACAAACTTCAGTGTTGGCGGCAACGTTTAGTTGTGAGCTATGAAGCAGCGCTAGCCATCAACAAAAATTGAACAAATAAATAAAGGAGCCATAGAGCATTTTCGCTTTGGCTTTTCTTGGGCCAGAGTGTACACGTCTCCACCGAGAAACGAAGGCAAGCTAGCAAATGGGAATGTGACACGAGTGCAAATATTGCTTTTGTGTTCATCTCTTAAAGGGGAAGCTTAAGAGTCGCTCAACTCTTTCTAGGTTATATATCGCTACAGTTTTTTTATATGATTAAAAACTCTTTGCGAAGGTGTACTAAATATTTTTTGCTCCTCTGTATAGGAGTAAGTCATACTCTCGAGGTAAACATTTACAAGTGGGCAAGCACTTTTCTTATTCATCGTTTCAGCTTACAGTGTAGACAGGCATTCATTTTGATTAGGAATTTGTCTGCATACTACTGGTTTGCATGCATCTCTTGCAAAAAGTTCAAGAACCAATAAAATCTCATCCAGACATATAACTAATGGTTACTGCACCTTCCTCCCTTGCCGAGTTTTTCTGGTCATGCCTGACACAGCACAGCTTGCCCATGTTATTGCTGTGAAGCCATATTCTGTATCAGTCCTTTGCATGTTTTCGTTTTTTTAGATCATGGTTGCGATGTGGCACACAGGCCACTGCACCTTTGTCTCTTAGGATTGTGCTCTCGGTGCAATACTTGATACACGTCTCTTATTTTTGTAACTTAGACTATGCACCTTATTTTGTAGCAGTTCAATTTTGAACGCATTTTAATATTTTCGATTTGTTGTCTGCGGCTGATAACCCCGGAGCTGCACTGAAAAATCCCGTTAGGATCGGTGAAAAGAATAAGAAGTAGAATGAACCGTTGTTAGAATGGCACCTCTAGTCATCAAGACTGATACGATTAATAGTAATATGTGTTATCATTGTGATAAATGTTTTGAATTTTCGTAAGCAAGTTTGACTGCAACACTAGCATTGATAGGCCAATGTCACATACTTGTGACGGGCAGTGCGTGGACAGGGGAAGCTCGAGTCCATAACAATCATTTTAACGTAGAGTGCAACCTTAATCTGTACTGAACCAGTTGGTTCTCTTAGAAAAAATGCTTTGCTGTGAGCAGTATTTTCAACAGTGGTTAGTCAGAACAGCAATAGACTCCAGTCTATTGTCTGATACAGCTTAAAAATTCCGGGGAGGCCCTACTCAGACAACCAAAGCACACCAGCCAATCACCTCTGCGACCAAAGAAATAGTCCCGCTCACGCACTCTGAAATGTTCTCCAAAGTATTTATCAGCCGCTGGCTGATGACGTCAGTCTAGAGTCTGCACCGATTGGGCAGGCTCGTATACATTTGTCTTTGAGGAGGAAATACCGCAGAATTCTCAAGTTGTATCTGACTATATGTCTAGGTCAAAACTATATGTCCACGTCAAAAGACTATTTTCTGTACCATTTCTGTCATGCTTGCAAAACCCTCTTCATTTCAACATGGCGACGTGTTTTTATTAGACTGCTCCCCTTTTCAACATGCTAGCAGTGGACTGATGCTTCCCGCCTCATGATGTTTACTTCAAGTTAATCAGTTGTAGTATCTATCTTCGCACGACTTTGTCTTGTTTCAGCATTCAATATGAAACCTTACAGTGTGCCCTTTCATTTCAATTGACAGACGACTGTCGAGCAGGAAGAGAAGCCGCCAAACAACACCAAAGCGTGTGCGAAGTGCGACTTCCAAAGCAGTGACTTGTCCGTTTTCCGCGAGCACATCAAAGTGCACCGGCCGCCAAATCAAGAAACATTCCAGTGCCACGAGTGTGGTCTGTGTTATGTGGTGGAGCCCTCATTGAGGAAGCACCTTCGAGGAGTGCACGGGGTGGAGGAGAAGAAGGCCGCCGACAGCCTCGCGGAAGCAGACCCCAACGGTGCTGCTGTCAGTGGGCTTCGCTGCTCCGTGTGTTTGGCAACATTCGACACTGAACGAGAACTCAAAAGCCACACGCGTAGCCACGGCATGGCATTCCTGAAGAAAGTGAAGGCTAAAGACGGCACTGTTTGATCTGCAGTGTGTGAGTGTATGTGTGTGTGCGTGCTTTTCATTGAATGAGTGAATAAATTGATATAAGTGTGTTTTTACATTTACTTTGCTTTCCCTTTCTCTGTTTCATAAGCTGTAAGGTAAAAGTAAATGTCCGTAGCAATATGTACATTGAGTAAGTATTTAAGCACACAATTTAGTCTAATGTATGTCTATAGCTGATCTAGAATTGTGAAAGCAACTGGCTTTTCCGAAAAATTTTAAAATTTCCTTTGAATTAAGCAGACAGCAGACTATGGCCAAAGTTAGAGACTGTCGACATATTTGCATTTTTGTGGTACAAATGTAATGAGTATTTGGCAAGTATATTGTGCATATGGCTAATGGGCAATGCTAAAAGACGAGGCGTCCCAACGCAGATGCTAAAGAGCAGTCAAGACACCACAAACACAAGCATCTGCGACATTTTAACTTCTCTCCGCATTTGCACGCCGTCTTTTTTAACATGAGCAACTACCAAGCAGCTCAGCTCTCAGTTGTTTTAATCTAATGAACAACCCCAACTGATAAACTGTGCCTTGCTAGAGTTATCCACAACATGCCTTATATTAAACAGAGTTGCCCTCTTGACGTGTGACCCAACTTTAGCACTGGGTGTGGCAATTCACCAATGAACTTATCAGTGTGAGATGGGTAGAAGTCCTCTATCACCAGTTTCAGGCAGACCAAAGTCATAAAACAAGCTTTCAGATTAATGTTGAAGACAAATGTTTGTTTGTTGTAGAAATGGTGTAATTAGCCAGGCACCAGCATATTAAATTAACGGGTACGCTTTGCAAAGATGCACAGTACTAACACATGCTTCATAGCACTTTGGGGTGAGCCCACTTCACTGTCGATTTGCATACATATGGAACACAAAAGGCGAGGCCGTTTGTTCACATAAGGGGTATATATTTTGAAGATCATCTTTATAGCATTCATCATTCACTTGTGCAGAGCTATATAATATAGATTCCCTTCAAGGTGCATATATATATCTTGTCTTTGGACAATTATATACGTCTTGGCACTTTCACTGTTCTTATTTGTATTGTAGATATCAGTCATCCCCCCCCCGATTCCCTTTGTGCTTGACCCTAGGCACTGCCTGTGGAATGAACAGATCAGCATTGTCCAGTCATATTCTGCATTGCTTATATTTGTAAAGCCCCGCCGCTGTGGTCTAGTGGCTAAGGTACTTGGCTGCTGACCGGCAGGTCGCGGGATCGAATTCCGGCTGCGGCGGCTGTATTTCTGATGGAAGGGGAAATGCTGTAGGCCCGTGTGCTCAGATTTGGGTGCACGTTAAAAAACACCAGGTGGTCAAAATTTCCGGAGCCCTCCACTAGGGCGTCCGTTTCTCATAATCATATGGTGGTTTTAGGACGTTAAACCCCACGTATCAATCAATCAATATTTGTAAAGGAGCCATCATTGTAGGGCCGGAATACAGAGTGTCATAGTAGTCTTCAAGTCGGGAGACTTAAATAATAAATATCCTGTCAGCGACGATGGTGTGAAGAGTTCCAGTAGTTTATCAGATAGCCGAGTGGAAACGTTTGGCTAGGTACGTGGCATGAACTATGGTGGTTAGATAATGGCTTGGCGCGGAGAGGCCAAGAATAGCAGCTTGTATCTCGCGCTGTTCAGTGTCAGTATGAGTGAAGAACTAGCCAAATCAGCCACCCATAAAGTTTCATTTAATAATATCTAGAGAGGAAACTGATCCTGCGATTGCTGTACCCCCATGGAAATGTTGGAAAGTATACAGGCTTCAGATTAGATGGCGTCAACTAGCAAGCTGGGAACGAATCTTTTTCCGTAGTTTCAGTTATGTTCTTCGCGCAGCGTGTGTAGTGGAACACGCTGCAAAGTACTGAAGCAGTGCCTTTATTGTTCAGAAATGCCGAAGACTGCTAGGTCTTTTGATTTGCTATGACGTTGGAACTTAACAAGTCGTATTTGGCAGTTTAAGCGAAGCGTCGTCCACACACCGCTGCGCATAGATGTAGTGTCGCATGCCAGTGCAGGATATTGCACCGAGCTAATGTTGTTTCAATAGCGCGTCTTGCCAAAACTCGTTTAAATTGATAAAATAAGGGCAGGGAGGTTAAGCATACGGGGCTGTAAAGGTGGGCTCGCCTGCACTTGGAAAAGGAAAAGAAAGCTGAGAGGATGATAGAAATACCACTGCTGCCACCCGTGCAGGGCATGCATACCTCAGAAAACCCCTATTCTCATCCTTTTTTCCCAGCCAATGCGGCAGATATGTCACATACATGCATGTTGTTCTGGAAGCAAATATTAGTATGTCTGCACAGGCGTGCGAATTGAGAGGGGGGGGGGGGGTGCAGGAGGCACCGATTCTGGCCCCTGACACCCGAGTGTCAGATAGAAAATTATTATCATCATAAAGTGGCACTCGCTATACAGCCCAGGCTTTCTGTATGGTTAGCAAGAGAAGCTGAAGCGTGCCCACCAACTCTGCTGTGTCCGAGTCTTGCGTAATTAACTTAGTGCACACTGCCCAACTTTTTAATGCTCAGGATTGGCAGGTCCTCGGGCTTACGGCTACACATGTTTTTTTAGCAGAGGCCAAGAAGTCACGGTGAAGAAAAAAAAACACACTTCTGCATGTTATACCCTGGAAAGCAGGGGATCAGTGGCAGGCCGTCGTGAGAAGCACATCATCGCTTCCTTTTTTACTTTTGCATCCATTGTGAAGCTCGTTTTCTTTCGGACTCGACAAACTGGCGGGTTAGGGGGAATGTGACTGAGGCGAAACTCACCACCCTCCCTCACACACACTCAGGGAGAACCCTTCTATGTATACGTCTATATATATATAGACATAAACGAGCTTCACAATGGATGCAAAAGTAAAAAGTAAGCGATGATGTGCTTCTCACAACGGCCTGCCATTGGTCCCCTGCTCTTCAGAGTATAACACGCAGAAATGTTTTTTCTTTTTTTTTTTTTCATCATCATGACTTCTTGGTCGTCGTTATCGTTTACTTTTACTAACGAAATTTCACGCAGAAATCAAGCGCCTTGTTTCGCTCTTTCTGCTCGTTTATAACGTGCACACATGCATGCTGCAATATATAGCACAGTTCGATATATCGATAATGCGAAATTACCAGGCGTATCTAGCTGAAGTTTATCGGAAAGCTCCACACGTGCCGGAAAACAAAAAATCAGAAATTTCACGATTTCCCTCTGCAAGGACGTGCCAATCGCTGAAAAGTTGACTCATTACTCTTCGATTCATGTCATGTAGAGTGCGCATGTACCGCAGGGTGCTATAGTGCCTAGAATCTATAAGCCTATAATTCTAGACATTATGGATTCTAGGCAATATAGGTGCCTCAGCGAATGTCTGTCGGGCAGCGTGAAACAACCGAAAATGTTGACTTTCTCTCAAAAAAGACTATATAGGTGCGAAGCACCTTATATAGTCTCAGCATATTGGTGTCTAATGTCACGGAGTGTCTACGTAAAAATTACCGCTTATTTATGTAGAAATTACCACTTATCATCTCTTTCTCATATATGATTACCCGTTGCCTTGCCCGTCGACCCGAGCTCATCGTTCTCTTCTCTGTAAATTTCGCTGCGTTTGTTGAGACGACTGCTGTGAAACACAAGAACTTGCTGATCTGTGCAAAGCAGGCAATAACCAACGCAATTGAAGGGGGAAAATATAAGTCTCTCGTCGCTGCTGCGTACAGGATCCTTAAGAAGTAACGATGTTGAACAAGACTAACATTTCGGTTTCAGCAGACTGGAGACTTATGGCGCCCGAGGACTACGCACAGCTGTGTATTAAACTGTCCGGGCGCTGTTTGCATGGATACTGTATTTCAATCGATTGTTATAACGCAACCCCGCATAAACCTACAAACCGCGGGATAACTATGGCTTCACCCGCATTTTGCTTAAGGCTGGCTTCTTTGAATTATCACAAAATATTGTCGTGAAGACAACATTACAATAACTTGTTCAAAAGTTTCGTATCGAATTATACGTGATATTGAAATAATGTCCGTTGTTTTGTGAGCTTATTATATGAGGGTTTGACTGCATATTGAATGTAAGTGTGATATGCCGAGGTGAACGGGAATGACATATGTGTGCATATTAAGTAATTAGTAACAGCTTGAAGGAAGCCAGTAGGTTCATGTCGATCGAACGGGTAACATACCGGGCATTTTCATCAGGTCATTGGGAAGGCTCAAGTTCACACATGCATTGCTGATCAGTAACAGGGTTCAGTTTCTTGACATCAACCTATGTTTTTCCATCAGGTAAGCATGTATGCTAGGCCTATCAGCCTAGGCAAAAGAAAAGCTTGTTGCCGTATGACAGCGCGCAGAGCAAATTTATTAAGAGGGGCATAGCCACCACGTGTACTAAGGCAGCAATAAATAAGTAGTGTGAGCACGAATTCGACCGTGGCCTGATGAATAAGCTAACATGGTTACGCGACACAGGCTGTCCCCATTATGTCATCACATCCGTCTGCGAAACAATTCTGCAGGGAATAACAGAACTGCCAAGCCTCTGCAGAACCTGCAGCACTGTCAAAGCGAAAGCTGGAAAAGCGGCCTTTCAGAACACCCCCTTTTTTTTACACTCTGGGTAGCTGCTACAAGCTTGCCCAGTTGCAGGTTACCCATTCACTACACGCCATAAACCATAACTATTGTGTAGTAGGTTGGCATTCTTGTTCACCTTCTCTTGTGGCTCATACCCACTTTAGGGGATTGGTAGGGCATTCGCTATGTCATCCTTATTGACTCTTTGGAGAATCATGGTACCTGCTACACACTTGCGAGAAATTTCAGGCAATCGGTTATGCTGCCTCGCCGTGGTGGTCTAGAGGCTAAGGTAATCGGCTGCTGACCTGCAGGTCACGGGATCGAATCCCGGCTGCGGCGACTGCGTTTTCGGTGGAGGCAAAAATGCTGTAGACCCTGTGCTCAGATTTTGGTGCACATTAAACAACCCCAGGTGGTTGAAATTTCCAGAGCCCTCCAGTACGGTGTCTCTCATAATCCTA